CTTGTATAAATATACTTCAGCTTATTTATTACATTGAATTTACTTGGGTTGTACAGGATTCAATGATCGCAAATGAAAGGGGAAATCATACCGAGTGTCAGAGTATATCATCACCTCAAGGAGAACATCGTTCTCAGCATGTAATTAGCTTTCCATTATTTTCTAGGATTTCATGTAGTGTTGCAACTAATTTATCACCCTTTTTTTTTATATATCAGCCATTAGTCAGTCGGCATGATGAATTAAGAGAACGTGCCAGACAACTATTAGAACAGGCTAGGAATACAAAGTCAGCTGGCCTTGTTTCTGCTGCTGCTAGTCCTATCGAGGTTTTATTTTATTTTCAATTTTATGGTTTTTCTGTGAAATAGTTGTACATATACGTATATGTTTTGTTGTAACCCATGTTCGTTTTTTTCATTAATCTTTATGAGACTGTATAATCGAAAATAATTATATTTGATCGCTTATAGAGTCAGAATGATGATGAAAGACAGCAACAATTACGTGAAAGGGCAAGACGTTTAATCGCTGAAGTAAAAATGGGGGTTAATATTACTTCGAGTCAAGTTAGCGATGACAATAGCAGTGACAGACGATCAATGGATGATCAGAATAATAGTCCAAGACGAAGTATCACACCGTCTACTCCTGGTGATAAATTTAGTACAAAGGTTGGCGATTATTATTTTATTTTTTTTATACAAGTATAACAAGTATACCATATATATATCAATTTTTATACATTTATATTTCAGTCTGAATACAATGGAAATATATTAGGAAGTACGAGTGTCATAGATGGCGACAAAAAGATCACATCTCCTCTGTACTCGTTTTCCAAAATAATTGAAAGAATTTCACCAGATAAAACTAGTCCCGATGGTACTTCATATGCACTCAGAGGGGTATGTTTTTAATCAATTTTTAAAACACAATTCAATTTATAATAATACTTATTGTTTATCCAGTTGGGGAAGGATATGACATCGTACATTCAAAATGAATTAGAGGCATTAGAAAGAGAACAAACTCAAATAGATATTCAAGCTGGTAAACTTGAAAAACAGCTTCGGGATGCTATGGAAAGTGATAACGAAGATGAAACTGAAAGACTGATGTCTCTATGGTTTACTCTTGTTAATAAGAAAAATGCACTTCTAAGAAGGCAAATGCAATTAAATATATTGTAAGCAGTGATATTTCTCTATCTTCTGATTAATTAAGTATATACGAAAAATTAAATGAATAATATTTTAGAGAAAAGGAAGATGATTTAGAACGACGATTTGAATTGTTAAATCGTGAATTGAGGAGTATACTAGCGGTTGAAGATTGGAGAAAAACTCCTGAACAAAAAATGCGAGAAAATTTACTATTAGAAGAATTAGTTTCTATTGTGAACAAGAGAGACGAGCTAGTTCATCATCTTGATACACAAGAAAGAGCGTATGTATAATACTTTTATTAAACATACATTAAGATATAAGTGTAATAATTTATATTTTATTACATTATTATAGTATAGAAGATGATGACGAAATAGAACGCGACCTATCTAGAGCTGGGTTAGCTCAACGAAACAAAAGTTGTGTGATACAATGAAAACTTAATTCTCTGTTCTCCTTATTAAAACGATAAGTGACAGGTATGATTTCAGTTTGTTACCTATTATTCAGAAAAATGACTAGTTTTAAGTTGAAATAATTATAGGTATGATTCATTTTGCTGTGGGGTTGCCAAAGAAGACGTAAAATTTTTCTTTGACATAGAGTCAACAATTTTATAATCGATAAAACAATAATATTTAGGAAGTTATTTTGTACTATCAAGTGCAATACAAATTGTACAATCATTGTTCCATATTTATACGTGCATTATTAAGTATTGCATTAACATGATAGCACTTTTGACAGTGGATCGAAGGTTCAGATTAAAAATTGTTCCGTCGAAGAAACTACAAATTAAATAAAATCTGTTACGATGTTATGATAGTTGTAAAAAAAAAAGTATGTTATTCTAGGGAAGAAAAACAGTTTTGATTATATTACAGTATGTCCATGCATGATTAAAGTGTCTCATGAAAAGGCAATAGTAAAGAAGTTACTGATGTTCTGATCTAAATAAGGTGCTGGAATCTTTGAATCAGAAGGAAATATGGGGGAAAAAAAAAATATGTTGCAATGTGTAGTTTATCGCTTCTGCAACTTGATAATATCATAAATTATATTAATCGCTTGAAAATAAGCGAAAAGTTACTAATTGCTACGAAGTAATCCAAAAATTATATTAATATTCAAAAATTTAGCAATGAATTTTAATCGATTATACTGTTAATTTTATAATTTATGATACTCTTTTTAGATTATATTTATTTTATTTGTGCCATATAGATAGCTTAATTTTTATTTATAAATGTTACTATACGTTTACGAAATATTTGCCATTTTATGTAATATGCAATTTTGCATAAGATTATACTATTGATTATTTATTACTAAATTTGTTATTAGTAATGTATGGAGGCCTAATCAATTTCATACATACTGAAAATTTGTAAATGAAAATTACTGCATACTTGTTTTTAAAAAACGGATTGGTAAATAATGGTAACTTATTAAAAAAAAAAAAGGCATGAAAAATTGCTACATATATTACAAATATTCATGTTTCAAATTGTATAATGTTTAATTGTAATAATTTATATAATTACATATGCTTCGAAACACGATATAGCATTTTATTGATGTAGCACAAAATAAATTTATGAAGTATTTAATCGTCAAAAGTTTTAATTAAAAAATGAATTATTTTCTATTATTTGGTTCTTCAATTCTCTCACTGAAATGTGATTGTGCAATTAAAAAAATAAGTATACAGTGTTTACATTTCTTGATTAAAAGTAAAATGTTCCTTTTATCCTTACATGTAAATATATCTTATACATGTAAAATTAATGCAATACTTATTGTTATTAAGTATTAAGAAAACGCTCTCTTAAAGGCATTGGTATTCGTTTTTGGAAAATCTAAATTTCAATTGATGTGGTATAATGTAATGGAATTGGTGCTGGCATATCATACTGAATGTAACTGCCATAATCGATTATCATTAAATACATATGAAAAAGGATACTATTGCCAAGTGTGCATGTACTAATTAGAAAGTAATTTCTTTCTTACTTTTTAAAACACTACATTGAATATCATTTCTGTTGTTAGTGTGTAAAAATAACAATATCAGAAGCTGAAGAACAAATTGTAATCTTTCATTAATTTCTAAGAATGAAGCATATTTTTGTTTCATGTTTATGTAGTGAATATTATTGTATATATGTAATGACATTATTAAGCTATGGCATATTAAACAACTGAAATCTGTTAATTTCCATTTAATAGATATTCAAATGTGGAATGTTCGTAGAAATCTCGTGTTGCAATATTAAGGTGTAACTATAATTGAATACTCTAATGGAAAATATTCAATTTTATGACTAATTTAGCAATAATTTATCATTTTAGTGCCTATGACTATTTATATTGGTATGTGAGAGTGCAAGGTTATGTATAATATAACAGGTGAGGTAATACATGTGCATAATTCCATGTTTGCGATCATACAGTGTATCTCATAATTATTGAAGCAAGTGACGTGGCTCAATAAAAAAAAAAAATTTCATTGATGTTTCATATAACTCGATCATTAACATTGTTTTAAAAGTGAATAATGGAGATAAATACAAACATCAAAGTACAAACAATTTTTCAATACTTATATATTTTCTAATCAGTGGAATGAAGTATTTAAGTTAGATTGAGATACTCTGTATGTATATTTCTGTATAAAACCAGCTTTCTGTTTTCATATCATTATTGTGCTAACATGTAACTTATTTTATTTATTATCGTTACGAACGTCGTCTTTAATAGAATATAATTGTATAAGCAATGATAATTCTTGCCAATGTTTTCCATTAAGAAGAATCGCGATCTTCTTAATTTGAAAGGTAACACGAAGTACTTCATGTGAAAGAAACAAGCGTATAATGTGTCAAAAAGTATCACGCAATAGCTATTGATAAATTAAAGCAAATAAAGCACTATAAAAAATATCAATAATTGTTGCAATACTTTTCCGTACCTTTCTAACATGACGAAGTTGTACCCAGGGTGTTCGGCTGTGAGTGGATATTCTTCGAAGGGGTGGTAGTTGGGGTGCTTCTGAATAACTTTTTCTGCTACCAAAATGTAAGTTGAGGCTTAATTTTTGAATTAGTAAACGAAAAACACGCGAAAGTATCGGCGACGAGAACCACGCTCAACCTTATTCACGAACAAACCGCGCGCCATGTCAATTCGTAGCCGACACTCTCGCGGCTGCGCCTGCGCACTGCGCGCCATGTCAATTCGGAACCGACGCTCTCGCGGCTGCGCCTGCGTACTGCGCGCCATGTCAATTCGGAACCGACGCTCTCGCGGCTGCGCCTGCGCACTGCGCGCGCTTTGATTGCTCGCTGTTTTTAATTAACAATTCAAAAATTAAGCCCCAACGAGCATTTTGGTAAAGGAAAAAGTTGTTCACAATTACCTCAGCTACCACTCCCTTAAGAAATGCCCACCCCTAATCGAACATGCTGTATATACATTAATACTATTTAAATATGTAATAACACGAACGTTTATGTTTTGTGAGAAATATGGTATTTGTAATTTTAATAATGTTAAATAATTGTACACTTTAATATAAGTTTGAAATTCTATAAATGCAGTATAATACAATATAATTTGTTAAAATTTTAAGTAGAATTAAAAACATTTTTATCACTGATAATTCAATATCTGAAAAATTAATTTTAAATCGTAATTTACTTATTTTTATTACAAATATCTTACGATTAGTTTCATTTTTAAAGCCACAAGAAATATATATTGTTTTGAACTTTCAGATTATTTATTTTGTTCCCCGAGAAACAAACTTTTTAAGGTTGTTATTTTCTTTTAAATAATTAAATAATAATTTTACTAACCGTATAAATGGTACAGAATTTTACATTTTAGCAACGTAATTCGATGGAAAAAGGCCTATTTTACCTTTCAGTCTACCGTTCCACCAACCACCTTCATCTGAAACAGAAAATATAATTCGTTATGGAAGTATAATTTAGTATCGGATTAGACTGATAATTAAAAACTTACGTTCTTTCAGTAGCTCGATAACATCGCCTTCTTTAAGTTCTAATTCATCAAGATCTTGAGGACTGTAGTTGTATAAAGCTTTCACTTTGGGTAACTGTAGTCTAGGTTTTGGAACTCGAGACACACTTGCCTCGTTATTATTATTTACTGTTTGTTTAGTGTTCGATTCTTTAACCGTTTGCATTTCTTTGTTACATGTTGTACTTTTATTGTTTTTATGATCGTTATTAACGGATGGAAGTTGAAATCCTGAAGGTATAGTTGGCGTCTGAGGCGGTGGTGGTTCAGAGGGTGGAGGTGGAAATTTCAATAGACCTATTTAATTATAATACATTCATGAAGTTATTATACTTATTAATGTTTCAATTGACATTAATATTATGTAATTACGAACTGACCACGTGGTACAGATTTCGGATTGGTGAACATGCCCATCAGAGGCATAGAATTATTTGTTATTCTTCCTGGTTTCGTTATTTGTTTCTTCTCTTGTGTCGGTAATTTTGAAACTGGAGGACGCAAACTAGGCCTGTTTGACGGCACCACAGGCTTATGCTGTTGATGCACATTTTGATTTCTTTCTATAATTACAGGCCGATTAGGTGGCAGTGTTGGTTTGTTTGTATTTGATTGAGGAACAGCTGATGAAAAAGACTTATTATTATTCGGCCTATGATGTTGTTTATTTCTTAACGTCGTTGTAGATAGGTTTGTATTTGGTTCTGAAATATGAAATTTATAAAAATCAGTCAAAAAACTTGTAAATAATTTTATTTATAACTCACTAGTTGTATTTGGTAATCCTGGTCCAATCCAAACATTAAGGATTTTTCCATTTGGTTTCAAAATCTCCTTATCACCATAATCAATTTGGGTGAACTTTACTTGTCTTGTACCCCCACCACCCCAACCTTCTTTTTTCACCTTAAACTCTAAACTGTAATGAAAGTACATATTACAATTATTCTATTTTAATTATTAAACTAGTAATCTTGGTTTATGAATTGTCATATAAATCTTACTTATTACTAAATTTGATGTTCAAGGTGTGCCCAGTTTCTTTAAGATATCTCTTATTAAGACTAATTAAAAATTCCGTCTTAAACACTAATTCCAACAAACTGCAGTAATCTTCCTTTGTATGAATAATAAGAAAATCATCCTGAAATCATTCAAATCAAATCATTTTTTCCTACCTCGGAGGATTACCAATTTTTTATATACAAGTGATATTTTACTTACTTGAAGAGTACTCAATGACACGTGACTAATTTGATTGAACGAAAGCTTTCTTTTTATAACTTCTACCAATTTTTTCTTCTCCAGACCCTTTTTAATTTGTTCCCGACCGATTAAGTATAAATATTTATTCGTTAAGATAAGATCCCTTCTACTCATCTGTAACGTACCATCAATTTATTCAATACAAAACGTTCCTTAATTTAATTTTCATACGAAGGTATGCAAGTACCTTAAATCTTCGATCGTATTTCTTCGCTACCTCAGCGAAGAAAACTTTTTCTCTTCTACCAACTAAATTCATCAACTGTGGTTTTCCTTCTAACCCTATGTAATCGCCAACAAAATTTCTATTCAGGCTAGCTCTTCTCCGTTCTTTTCTATCAAATAACAAATCAGCCGCTTCCTGTTTCTCTTCATTTTGCCGTTTTCTTGCGAAATACTTTTTAAACGCTCTTTGAATCACTCTTGCGTACGAATTATACTTTCTATCTCTCGCTTCCTCCAACATAAACAGCTGATTGAAAAAGAGAAAAATTGCAGAGCAAACCTAAATTTACCATCTTTGGAAAGTGAAGTTTAAACTTACGCTTTCAGGGGCCTTTATGAACAATTTCGTTCTACCTAGCTGATACTGGGATCGATCAACGTGAAGATTTTGTAATATCCATTCTACTCCTTGTTTATCATCCCCCGACCAACGTGGCCAAGTTTGTTTCGTGAGGATTCCGTATCTATATAAAAATTTAGAGAACGATCTTCTGTATGCGAAACCAGCTCTACGTACTCTTATATTTTCCTTTAAACCCAAATATTCTACCTACGTGGCACAAGACAGAGAAAACATTGTTATGAAAATGCCAGCTTTTCATATATGCAATTACGTAAAGTTGTAGCATATTTATGAAAGAATAATACCTGATGTTTCACTCTAACTGGATCCCAATCTCGAGGTCTTTTCGTCTCGTTCGGTTTGATACACCTGATGTAATGTGGAGTACATTTCATCAACTGATTGACCAATTGACTAGCTTGCTCTCGTATTTTATTACCAGCAGTGGTAGGCCTCGACTTGAGCGTTTTTGTTTTATTCGCTTGAGTATCGTGTAAATATAATGTGCGAATTAAGGAGCTGAAATTTCAAATGAAATTATTCTATGAAACTTGAAGTTTTTTTTTTATAAATGATTGAGTAACTTACTTCGTACTGGTCTGCATTAATTCCACGAGATCTAAGAATAGTACGTCACGATTTTTATCACAAAATCCATCGACTGAATAAGAGACCATTCCAGCATAGTGAGAAATAGCGAATCCCTCGCTTGTACTTTGGTAATGTTCATGTTTATTAGCTACCACTGATAGTTTCTGTAATTTTTCATTTAAAATTCATTAAATAACAAATACCGAATTTTCTATAAGAAACATCGAGTTTATTACTTTCTGCAAATCTGCATCAGCTCCGGTGCTACCTCCATGAAGGGTAGCACATACGTCATCCAGCACCAAGAAAAGCCCTGGTAATCGTTTCCCTTCCAAAAGATCCACTACAATTGCATTGTTGAAATATTCAATCGGTGTCCATTTAATATTTTCCGCTACGTATTCCTCCTGAAACCCAGTGAGAAAAAGAGAAAAAATGAATAAACAGTTGTTCAAGAATGATTTATTGCGTTAAATCGAGAGCCACCCAAGTGTGATCGCTCGCGTAAAAACAGTATTACATTTCGCCACGATAGAAAGGAAAGTGTTAACGACGTGATCGCGGCTCTATTAAAAATCACTTTTCATTTCGATCAGCTGCACAGCGTTTCGTACGGACAACTCGGAAGATCGTAAATAAATAAGAAGACTAATAAATTAAAAAAAAAAAAAAACTTTTATCTCTTTCCTCTAATTATTCCAACTTTCATGGAAAAATAATGAATCATTCTGCCGGTTAAGATTTCCAATTACAACTTCCATTAAAATTCATTTTTTTAGAAATCTAGAAGCCAGAGAGGAGAAGTTAAGGAAATGTAAAATTGGAAAGTAGCTTTGTTCGAAGAGTTACATTTGAATATCCGTGTTATTCGGAGACAATCGAATCTCTCACGGTCTGTATCGATAAAATACGTGGTTCCGCTCCGAATCATGGTTCAAGCATTTCGTGACAAATGATGACTTTTTAGCGGCGAGCAATTTAGTCGTCTCCGTGTTCTCTTGAGTGGCTTGCCTTTTTTTTCTTTTTCTTTTCTTTTTTCTTTTAACTCGGTCTAGTTGCGGTGAGCATCGAGAGGTGACGGCAAAAGTGGTACGATTCTTTTCGTTTCAACCCGAGGCGAGTACTCTATTTTCATGCGGACGACAATCTCGTTTAACCGAAGCTTATTTATCGGTCGCTCGACAATGCGGCCATCTCTGCCCGCTTATTTATGCTTCCTTAAGGGGTTTATCCCCGTTTCACCTATCATTTTTCACGCCATTTTAAAAAAAATCATCCTCTATCCGCTTGAATATTAATACAAAACGCCCGAGTACTTGTTATTCGGTACTACACCATAGAGAAAGCTCTTCCTAATTGTACAGAATATTAAAACTGTCATTAAAGGGAAAGTTTCGCTATTTTATTAGCGGATATCGTTCCAAAGTGTTTATGTTCTTTAAATGCAACGTTGTCGCCTATTGTTCAGAGAGAAAATTATTTTTTCTTTTTATTTCTTTTCTCCAAAAAATGAGCTATCTTTTATTCCCTTTATGGAGAGCCATAAACTTTATCATGAGAATCTCGAAACGTTAACGAAGGTAGATAAACTTGCCGAGGTATAAAATTTGAAGTGAGATTCGTTAAAAATGTGAATGCTCATTAGCGGTGCACCGCATCTTCGCTTTGTTCTTAATTGAAAGATACTTGAAATTTTTTTTTTTTTTTTAATAATTTACTAATAAAACATTTTTAATAGATGTGGAATTATTGTTTATTGATAAAAGTTAAAGAAGATCGTCTGGAAATTTTCACCGCAATTAACCCAGAATGCGTGTATATCTCGCACATTATCTCTAGGCTTCTTTAATTTTCTCATTCCGTAACAATGGCGAACAGTTTCTCATACACGTTTCTGTCTTTTCAACCAATTACCTTACATGCGTTAAGAGTCTTTCCTTTTTTTCTCTATTTTCTAGTAACGGTTCACCGTATGGTGACACATGTAACAATGTGATACAATTTCAATTAATGAAAACTAAATAATAAACGAGTAAGATACAAAATTGGCAGTGCAGTGTTTAGAAAATAAAATTAATACAAAGAAGAAAAAATATTTAACCCTTAGCTAGCACTATGGGGTAATTCAGCTTTCTTTTCCTTTTTAACTAAAATTCGTCCCTTTAACTCTTTAAATAAATTTTTGAAACCACGATTTTTGTATCACTTTTTCCCTTAAAATGTTGGACCAATTAAAATTTTACCTCTTTATATGAAAACTTGAAAAAGTTATTTTTTCAAGTTAAAATAATGAACAGCTTCTTGGCAGGAAATATTTCAGTGGTTGGAGTTTTAAACGGTGAAATCAACCATCTAAGGGTTATTAATAACAAATTGATACTGTAACGTTTAAAAATCATATTCATTATTAATGTTGAAGAGAGAGAGAGAGGAAGGCACGACTTCCTACGAGCATAATTTCAAGTAGAGGATATCCGTTCTTAATAGATCAGACGATAGAATGATATTTGGAACAAGATGCTGTTCTTGTATCTTAAGGCGATAATTGTATCCGATCCGCTTGGAATTATTTAAAATTAGAAAAATTAAAATATCATCGCGATACTGATCAAAATTTATTTGACTCCTCCCTACGAAAGGATAATGATTCGAATGGAAACGAATAAATCGAAAATTTCGTAATTGCAAACACGGAAGATAGGGAACGATACCAATTGTGGTAGTTAGACGGGCAAGTTGTGGCCAAAGTTGCGGAAGGGGTACATAAACAAAGAGAAAGACGAAAAGGAGAAAGCAAAGGACAGAGAACGAACGTTTCACTTAGCTATTTCATTACCTTCACTCGATCCTTGGCCGCAGTGCAAACAGAACCATCGTCTGTGCAACTTGTTTATCGAATTCATTATTTTTGCTTTTTTCTTATTGTTTTTAATCGAATCGGTTTCGTCGATGAATCAGTGAGGCGCGATATTTCCGCGCGAATCATGATCATTAGATTTTACGATGGATACGAAACGTTAAAATACAGGATATCGAATAAAACATTCTTATTGTGAGTGCTGATTATTTTCAATAATTTTAATCTCGTTTCTATCGTTGATAAATAATTATTATCGTTAAACATTTTATTGGATATCCTCGCATCGGAGTGACGTAAATGAATTTTTAGATAGCCATCGAAGACCGCAACTGTACCCGCAACACCTATCGATATAGGGAATATCAAATTTAACCCATTTTCATCCTATACTTCAGGTACGAAAGAAACGAAATTTTTTAATAGGAATATCCTTGAAAATAAATTATACGATACGTTTGATAACGATGGCAATTGTGTTATTTATTTCTAGATTTTTAATTATCAATATTCTAATTAAAATTGAAAATAAAAAATCACCCCCATTGATCCTTTATCTATAAATCGTCTTAATTATAATTATTGCACTCGATTAATTATAATCGAAGGATCAACGAATAGAGGGATTAAGAAAAAAAATTCCTAAGTTTACATAATACGGTTAGAAATGGAAACGGAAGCGGAGAAAAACGAAAGAAGAGGTGCAGAGGTATGATGTAGCGAAAATGAAACTTCGAAAGGATAGAAACGCGAACACAACCGGTAGAAACTAAAGCCATTTGACAGGCCAAGTCCACGTGGACTCTTACGTTCACCAAGTATAAATCGAGTACGTTCACCAGGCCAACGAATGCACTTGCACTTTTTAAGAGAACCTGTTTCCGCTGCAACGCGAACTTACATTGAAAGAACCACACCCACCGGGGCTAACCAGAGACCATAGATCTCTTTGGAAAGGAGGACTTTTCCGTTACTTTGCTAGGGTGAACAGTAAGGTATGATTACAAAGATTGCTGTGAGATACTTTCTTGGACACGCAACGATATCCTACTAGAGTGTCACACTTGTGAAAAAGAAGAAAAAGTACGGTCTATGTAACGAAGAACATTATTAATCATTTTTAAAATGCAATTTTAAATTATCATTCAAATTTGTATAATTAAATATTGGAAATTATTAATTGAGAATAGGATGTATTTATGTGCATATGTTGTACCACTTGAATATCCTCACGGACGTGTACATTTACACACAAAAGATGAATGAGCTATTTTAAAGGCTAGAATTACAACTGTACTCGATTATATTGAGTCATAAGGCAAGAGGAACTCGATGCTTCCTAGACGAGTCATTATGTTTGGTAATTTCGTAATTTGAAAAAATTTTCTGTCCAATTTTCTACTTCCTTCGATGTCATTTGATGTATTTTGTTATTCCATACAAAAAATTATTATGGTACTTGATAAAAAATTGATCGGTTCAAAAGATATCTTAGGGAGAGACCTCTAGGCTCTCCCTGTCTCTCCCTAAGATATCTTTTGATTAATTAATTTTTAACCGAAGTACCTTAATAATTTTTTGTAGATAATTAAAAGACGCTTCGATTGACGTATAGAAATGTATATAGTTCCATTAGAAAAAAAGAACAAAGTTGACTTTGAGGTCCTTGGAACACCTCCACTTCCGGTACCGACACGCACATTAACATAGAAGCAACGCAAGTAAATTCGTATTATTTGATTCCTTTTTTTTTGTGAGGCTGCTGTTGAGAACAAGTAAAACTTTCACTGCATTTATAATAACGCGTTCCGTGTATGCTATACTATGTTGCTGACCAGGAACGTTAATGTTTCCCCTTCTTCCTGGGTGAAAACGAACAATACTCTTCGTTGCAAAAAAAAAAAAAAAAAAGAAATTGCCTTCTGTATCAAATGTACGAAAATATAATGAAATAAGAATGACATTTTTTATTATTGAATTAAATTGCTTTTCAGAATGTTAGCAGCAGCAAATTACTACAAGACGACTGTACTTTTTGTACTTATACAACGATCATTCTCAGCTATGGTTCTTCCCAGGCCACCTTCTTCACCGAATCATATTCAACACATTGATCGAAGAATGAACGATCGAAATCTGTACGAAGGAAAGCCTGTACAGGATTTTTCCCAAAATCCCAATATCGAAAGGACAAATACCAACGATTACAGGTATTTAATTATTTCATTTAATTATTCTCTATAGATTACTAATTCTATTGTTAACTACACTCTATTATTATTTAACTACACTCCGTTTAAACATAATATTGCTTAAACGGTATTCCATAAATGTTCTTCCTCAAGAAAATAACGAGTTGTAACTCCATTGTTTCAAGATTATGAAATTTTTGTCGTGGGACTCGACCTAATTAATTAAGTGAAAAACTAAGTCACAATAGAGACACAGGAAATAAAGAGAAAAGGCCTGGAGATAATTATAATAAGTTAACTGGTCATTCATAAAAAGAAAAATGATTGAATTATTTTAATATTTCAAGTAATATAATTCTTGTTCAGTCTTGTAGAAATCGAGCTTCAAAGCCCGGACGAAATGGACACGACGAATCTTCAAAACATAGTACACGCAATGTTGAAACAATCTGAGAAAGTTCATAACAATAGCTATCCAAATCCAGAAGTGATACCGCATTCCATTTTTGGTGTCAGAGACGTTGGTTTAACTTCGACCTTCAAGCTAAATACGTTCAATGAGGACAGACGTGTCTTGATAGAGTCACCAAAGATACCGACTTACGACGAGAAGTTGTATTATTTAAAAAACAACAGACCAAAAGTTTACGTGAACGTGAGAGGCCATAGCGGTACGTTTAGAAAGGATCCGGCTTTAGAAACGACCTCTACTAACGACGCTATAGGATTCCTTCGAGTTACACCGCCGTTTCAAAGACAAACGAACTCCAAGTCTCGGTACGTTAAAAAGAATCGTTCACCAAAGAAATACGACAGGAATCATGGACATCAAAGGAATCGTTCGTGGACAGATGCTAAAAGGTTAAACAGATTAGCATCGATTTACAATTTCGAAGCTCCCGCTACTACCGAAGGTTCTATGGTGACTTCCAGTGAATTACCAAAGCAAATACCTGCACCCCCATCAAAATTTCATAGCAGGACGCTTATGGCGCAAACTACACCCGTTCAAAATTATGCTTTGAGAAGAACAGATGTATTACCAGGCTACAGCTTCTCCTGATGAACGATAATCTATACAATTGATGAACATTGTCGCTGTGCAAGGAATTCCTGAAGTATCGTTATTAAGCAAGTGATAGTAAATAAATTGTATATAATGAGGCTCAAGAAGACAGACGATTGTAACACATAAATATGACGTTTAATAAATTATTATTTAACGCGAACCGATTCTCACGTACTACTTCTAGAAAATAATAATCTGAAATTTAAAGTACTTACCTGTTCAGCCTTTAAAGTTAACTCAATGAAAATCTGCTGTAGTTTTTCGTTGACAAAATTAATACAAAATTGTTCGAAACCATTTTTCTCGAAGATCTCAAAACCATAAATGTCCAGAATCCCAATCTCAAGACCTCCTGTATTTGTCTCCATAGCTGAGTTCACTTTCTGTAAATGAAAACGATAAAATGAAAAATGATGAAGTTGTAAAGAATTCTCTATGAAAATGTAAACATACTTTAACTAAATAATCAAAGAGTCTAGCATAGATGTTCTTTGCCAAGGCATCACGGGTATAAAGAGCCTGCTCTACATTTAAAATAACATCAACACTTTCAGACTGAGCTCCCCATTTAGATTCAAATTTTCGAGACGTTAATTTACAAGCCAACTGTTCCGCCGATACTTGAAGCAAATAAGCTGGAAAATCAAGAGCTGTAAAAGAAAGAAATACACTGTTATTAAGTTTTCATATTCTGTATATTCATTAATTGAAATCGCTAACATTGTTTTTGTAATAATTATTTATTTAATTAAAGAATACTTACACTGTTTATCATAAATTTCTGAATTATTTCCCTTTTCGATAAATTGAATATTTCCTAAATGAAGTATTCCTGCAACGAGCCTCAAAATATCGATTACTTCCACGTCGCTTATCCCCATTACACTAAGCCCTATAGAAAACAAATATAGCAATTATTTATACCGAACCAGTGAATCTGTAAAGCTTTGATCGTCAAAATTGTACCCTTTAAGGTTTCTTGAAAGTCATGGGCGTCATTCATTCCTTCGACCCTATAATTTCCACCATAACTGAGGTATTGATAATAGTCCAAATTAGTTAATCCAAATTCAGCTATAAAACGTAATATTATCATTATTTTTTTTTTAAATATATACGTATCTCTATTGATTTTCATTTAATATGTACATTTCATTTGCTGATTTGCCCCAGTTACAAGTTGATAAAATATATGAAAATTCCTTTCACCATGGTTATGGCAAGTAACTCTGGATTTTTCCAACAAAAAATTTAAAATTTTTCCACCGACCGATAGACCACCGGAATCAAATTGCATCTTCACGTATTTTCCCTATAAAAACAATGTATGTGTGTTACGACAAATATAGATTTAGTTTTTGAAAATATTGGCAATATATTTTTCATAAAAATTGATGGTAAAAGTAAGGGATCTTAAAACATACATACAAATCTGCTACTATTGTTATTCCGTGTGGTTTTTGCATTGCCAAAAGCTTCCAACAGAGGATTGGATTCTAGAATTACATCTTTTACTCTTTGAACTCGCGCGCCACCACCGCTAACTCTTGCTATATAGGACATAATATATTTAGCTGCAACTGTTTTTCCAGCACCAGACTCTCCGCTGCAAAATAAAATAAAATATGTATATGGTTACTATAATTAACTCATTTCCCAACAGAATTAAATAGAGTGTCTCACCTAATGATAACACATTGACTTTCCTTATCAATTAACATATTTCTGTACATATCATCTGTTAATCCATAAATATGTGGAGGATTTTCATATGGTGCCTGAAACAATAAAAATGATCAATTAAAAACTAACTCTAGTTTCCATAACATTTTAAACTTTTATTTATTCTATATGATAGAAATAAGAAAATTGATTTATTTACCGCTCCTTGATAAATTTCTATCTCCTTTTCTCCAAAATACGGCATCTGTTTGAAAGGATTCACCGATACCAGTACGCATCCTATACACGTCTGATAATTATTAAGGAAATTATTTTCACATTTAATTAAGAATTAGATACACTTTTATATTTATCTTTATATAGTTAAAATACAATTCTTTTATTTGTTATTTCTCAAATATTGCATTTTTGAGTTAAGTCACTGTTCTCGCCAGGGTATGATATATTACAAAAAGGGTGTTCCAGAACTACCGTTGGTCCCTTAAAGCGATGGTAGCTGGGGTGATTCTGAACAACATTTTCCTTTGCGAAAATGTTGTTTGAAGCTTCGTTTTTGAATTATTAAAGAAAAACACTGACCAATCAGAGCGCGGGCTCAGGGACGCGGCCTCGACTACGAAAACTAAGAAATTTATTTTTTACAAATTACAATTATCCGTAACACGAAAAAGCTTTTAAAGTATCATATCTAGCACAGTCATCGGATAAAGCAATCAGTAAAGCCATAATGATAATTCCTACAAACGGCTATATTTTCATTCATCAGTCGTGTGACGTCATCAACTGTCTAATGATAGCGAGACACGAAAGGATACAAATATATAATCGTCCATATATCTTTTTCGAAGATTTTCTACAATAGCGTCTTCATTAATTTTCGGGAGCAGAACCATATCATCCACTCCGGAAACTTTAACATTTTGACTCTGCCAATGATACACCTGAAACAACAACAAAACATAAATACTACGATCGGTCGTTGTTTTTGTCACAACATTGAGGATGGAGTACGCGATATCGCCTGACAACAAATGCATTATCTACTTATTCGTGTGTTCATAATAAAAGGTACATTGAAAATAATATATTTTCGAGCTCTCGAAATTAATGGGTTAATAAACCTTAAGTCTAATATCAATTACAATGAAGCGAGGGAAGTCATACATTTAAATCCCATTACGGCTTCTGTGCTGCAAGTACCTGTACTTATTCTCCTCAATACATACCTAATCATCGGTTCATCGACATCAACATATAATTTATTATGTTCGATACAATAAATTTTCAAATACAAGTAATATTCTTAGATAGAACGAAGTTTTGCCGGCTGCGTGTACTGGTTTTCACAGCCCACGCCGACCGGTAACGTGTTGTAACGTTTAAATTATGAAAACGTTCAACTGACACAATTTTCTTGATCGAGAATTTTTTTCACGTAACGACCATAGTCAGATTGCCGTTGCGCGTTCCTTTGTTTCCCCGCGGACGGGAAGTGATTCATTTTCTCTCGGTTCAATGACAACATAAAATAAAGATACATATTAACGGTATTTATGTAACGTGAGAATAATTTCGTCCAATTACACGACGAACAAGCGTTAAAATTTCAAGGAAACGAGCAAAAAAGTTTTCGATTAAAAAAATAAAAAATTCTTAGAATATTGAATCATTTGCGTTGTCATTTAAATCGATAAATTTATTGATAGGGATAAAGAAAATCTTTTATGAATGAGTAGCGTACAACTTAGGCTTCCCTAAGATAAGGAGAAGCGTGAGGGGAAATATGTCCCACCACATGCCTTATGTGCCCATGTTTACGTGCGAGGACAGGAGGTTCTAGGTTAGGCTATCCCGACGATCTTCCGGGTATTTCCCAAGGTTCTTCCTGGGTTCTTCCTGGCTTCTCCTTGGGTTTTCCTTGGTTTCTTTAAACACCGAAAACAAATGGTGGGGGACTCTTCTCTCTACCTTTCCCCTTAACTAAGAGAAGCCTACGATGCACTCGAGTGTCTTTCTAGGCTCTACGGTTAATTAATTTTATCCTAATTCGTGCTAAAATATAGTACATTCAATTACTAGGGTAATGTACACTTAAAAATTTCGCGTGTCAAAAAGTATCATTAAGGTAAGTCATATCTTATCTACCTAAAACAAAGTTATCTTATCTCATAGATTATGTAGGTAAATATTTTATTACGGTTTACATCAAGTTGGATCGTACTTATACATTTTAAAAATGTCAGTTTGATACTTTTAAATTCATTAACAATAAACAATCGTTGTAGTCTTCATTTTCATTGTCTAAAACCTGTTTAACCGTTAACCACTTTAGAAATTTCTACTACTTTCGCTGAAAGAAATCTAAATATTTATCTATCTGGTGTTCGCTCAACCGTACACGTGAAACCGTGCAACATAATTTTTCAATGCTTACCATGTTAGAGAATTAGGCAGTAAACGGTTTTTCAGTTAAGATCCTTTACAGCAAAGAAGAATACAAAAGACAAGCACTCAACAGTTTGCAATTACTAATAACGTCATCTGTGCTGTACGAATTCACGCAAGTGTATCACTTAGAATTATTGGAACACACAGTGATTTGAACATTTGAGGATTAACAGAGCGAACCTAACCGTACGACGGTATGACGAGCACTGGTCGGATGAGTCAGTGCGCCGGTCGGAGAAAACCATCATCATGCCATGAAACATCAGTCTGAGAAACAAGCTCATCATTTGTAATTGTTTAAGAATGTTGTTCTCGTATAAACGTTTATCATTTGCGTCATACGGGCGACATGATCATTGTAGCTTTTATTCGGTCCTAACTGCATCATTATTTCTATGGTACACGTTATTTATGTAGCAAATAATACGAATGAATTGACTGCGATGTTTGTGGTTTGTTTTTCTATTTTACCTCTGCTGTATTTTTTCGTTAATTTGTGCATTACTTTTAAAGTGATACGAGCGTCGAAAACTTTACCGACAGTCCCTAGAAAAATCCCTAGAAACGAGAATACACCATTTTTCGTTCTTGTTGAACAGATTCCAAAGAAATTTGACGGACTTGTTCAGCCATTCTTTGGGTCGGATAGAGCAAAACGAGCACTCAGGGAATGGTGTATAAGATTTCGTTTAGAAAAATAATGAGAACTACGATTTTATTGATTTTTCACTCGCGAAAGACGTCAAAAAGGTAAAACAGACCACAAATTTAGTTCCTCGTTTTTTCTGCAGGGCGCAGTTCATTCGTTTAGTACGCTCGACAGTGCAATCATTCGCAGCTCGTGTAAGTGATTAAATTGTGTATTAGGTATCAAAAATATAAGAAACAGAAGACAAAGTTGAAAAGAAGACCGGAATCATGACTTCTGGCATCATTTCCATATTGTCTTCAGAAATGCGTAAGCTGAAAATTTATACCCTATTTTGTCGATACAGATACGAATTAAAATAACATATTTCTCATTTATTCTACTTTTATGATGATAATTTATTAAATACCATTAATATCTTATGTATTTTTCTATCCTTTTTATTATTTCGGTGCTTTAAAGTGAAAAAAGTAATCCCGACCTTATTTCAATATGGCGTTGATAATTTTCAACGAATCTTTCCATTCTTTTAATGTTAAAGTTTCAAAGCAATTCGAAGTTTCTACCAATGCCTGTGATTGGTCGTTCCATCATGGCGTCCTCCTATTTCGACCAATGAGATTCATCGTTGAAGGGTGTGATGCGCGGAGTGTGATGGACTGCAACAGCAACAGCCTCTTCGAAGCTTCGTCCGTTTGGCACGTGTCTGCAACAGGTAAGATTAAATTATCTTTAAATATTAAATTAAATTGCCGATCGGGTGTTAACAGTACAAAAAGCAGAAAGAAACATCGAAGAGAAAATAATACTATCTATAGTCACTGATCATAGAGTGTGCGACAGAACATCTAAGAAAGTAAGGTTCTCAGTGCGTCACTGTAATTTTCTAAAAAACACTGACATATTTTCGTTTCATTTATTTTTCATAAACATATACATCGTCTTAACATAAATTATTCTCTTCAATTCTATTTCATTGCTTCAAAAGTATCACATGACGTGAATAACCTGAAATTCGTGTACAGGTTGTTTGTTAAGCAGCTGCTGTTTTATATATTTATAGCAATCAATGAAACAGCAGTATAAAATGACCGGCTCTTCACTGATATTCTAGAAAATATGCAATATTTTTGGTATTATAATTACAAAATTTTAGGATTAAATTTAGTATTATCAATAGTTGGGAAGTGATCGATTGAGTTGTAAAAGCAACGTTCATAGATGGCAGGGGAATGGAATAAAATACGGACTTAGGATATTTTTCTACATCCTAAGTAATCTTATTCCAAGCTATGGTAATGCAAAGAGTGACATTACCGTAGTAAAACGTATCGCAAAATTTTGAGTCCTAACTTTCGAATTACCAAAAATCCTCCTCGCAAATATTATCTCGCTATCTGAAAAATTACTTCTGGCTGGGATGTTGACATTAAGGAGGGAAATTTTTCTAAGGTAGGAATTGGATCAAGTTTGCCAGGCTCTTCCTTGTCTTTATTTTTCCATTTCCTAATGCAACTTTGAGGCAGATAGTGTTCAATTATACCATTGTCTCCGCTGGAGTCGGAAACCTCCTGATCATTGGATACATTTCTTTGTTTCTTAATCTGCAATACAAATCATTATACCGTGTAAGCTTCTTTATACGATCCTTTACGTGTATGTGACGCCGATAGCGAAACTCTGATTAATTAAAGAATGGGAATAGTTAATTTTCAGATTAGTCAAAGGATTATTTTTATCATTATTTAAAGTATCCGATATACGAAATATATTAAATCACTTAGGTGAACTTCTTAATAGGGGAAACTGAAACTCGTTGCGCAATTCTGTCAATTAGTTTAATTAATTCGATGCTATTTTCAACATACCTGCAGCCAATAATCCACTAAGATCCAGCCTTGTATGAGATATATGGTCATACAAAAGATGGAGAATAGAGACATGATAAAATTGTGAATAAAAATAGGATGATTTAACAATTCCTCGTCTTTGATTTTCGTTAAATCAAGATACATATCCACGTGTTTCATTTCAATTATTCCGGCTGATAGCAATAAAACAGCTGCTATAAAGCAATCTGTAACAGCCTTTATACGTTTGTAATAATTAATTTATGGATAGTAATTAAATTTCGAGATTTTCATTAAGGATAGCGAAATTAAATTAAAATTAAGTTAATTACTTTGATGAGTTTAACTTATAAGTAAAAGATAAGATAAACTGTATAAAATTACTAACAATTTGAGGTCGTTTTATTAAAATATCCGTGAAAAGCCAAAGAGCTGCAAATATAATGCTTGTAAAAATACATATTGGATAGATGTAAAAAATTGGATTCTTTTCTTGAGGTAGAAAAGGAATAGATTCATCATCTTTTCGATTCACTCTGTTCGCCTCATGATGGGCATGATGAAACACCTCTAAAGCGAGGCAGATAATCTAAATTACAAAGTGTTAATAGAGTTTTGTATAAGTACTTTTACAAACAAAAATCATAGGTTTTTAAATCTAAAATTTCTTTATCAATTTCACATGGAAAGGATAATACAATTGTTTGTTCCAAGGAAGAACCGGTCATTTTGTATTAAGAATATCGATGAAACATTTACATAGTTATTTTTATTATACTTTAAGATTTAAATCGACATATCATAGTTGCCATTTCTTGATACTTTTATGTCATGAAATTATATCAGACTCTTTGGATTTCGAAATCTGCCATTTGATATGAAACAGCCTAATGGAATTTGGTTATTACACGAACCTTGAAGAATCGCAAATATTATGATATTCATGAAACGTTGACATAGTAATTTTCATCGGCTCCGAAGCTTTGAATTCATGTGTCATAAGTACCATTTTGTGGTACTTTTATGTCATGAAATCGTGTCGTACTTTCTATCTGTTTCGAAATCTGCCATTTGATGTAACAAGCTAATGCTTCGTCAAACACATTATACATATAAGCATTCTAAAAAAAGTAATAAGATAAAAAAAATGAAAATTAGTTTAATGGAACGTACATATCTAGTTAATCGTCTAAAGATTAAGATTTCCATTAGATATGCAGGAAAAATTGGAACAGACGTAATGAAACACCAAACTACGTTACACTATCAAAATATATTGCATTTGCGATTCTGAATGGTTTAGAATTACAAGAAAATACGGAACAGAAAAGAGCGTAGAGAAGAAAAGAAACGAATGACAAGTAAGAAAACGCTGACATGCGTGTTTTCGTGATATGCGAGTGTCGAGATACGAGTACCGTGTCCAATTGCATAATAATATCCTTAGGTACTCTGACTGAATCATTCGTGCGATATTTCGTTAAATCGCTGGAGAAAATTGGGTCACGCTGTTGCGATCGTGAGGATATTGATGCGCGTCTCCGATTCGCTTCCTGCTTGCAACTAGACAATGGAAAGAATGATTTAAATACACGCGAAATCGGATCGGAGACAACGGTGACTGACGAACAAGAGGAAGGGTCTGTGTCATCAGACAATATTTGTGTTATTGGGAGACACGCAATTGCGTTTCATAAATATTTTCGCATTCTCCGCTCGTGTCATTTAACATGACTTTTTGGCATACTTTTTTATACGTACTGTTGAAAAGAAAAGGGAAGAGATCTTATTTAATAAAAGGAGACCTTATTTAATTTAACTTATGAAGTAAATTAAAACAATAGATGTACTTCATAATATAATCATTTTTAAATATTGGGTAATTTCTTACGCATTGAAAGAGGTGTAGGCTAGCGTGAACGATGTGAGAAAGATTTCGGTCTCGTTTAAATTTTACTCTGTTACTGTGATAAATACTAGCAGTTTTTGCCATCTTACGAAGGTTTCCCAGTTCGTAAGCGTCATTTTCATCCGATGATCTGTTACTGTTCATTATTTTTACGATTGAGAGTTATAATCTTTCATAAAATTTGACTAAAATCTGAAATGAAATTGCAGTTAATCAAATTGATTCTAGAATCAATCGATATCAATAATTTACTGCATTCATTAACTTTTTAATATTAAATTAATAATCCTATATTAATCCTATGTCATATTTTTGGTAATTTTTTTTTGAAAAGTCTATCCTAATATCATAAAAAATATAAAACAGTATGAATTAGCTGTACACCTCTTTTTGGAATGATTTTATAAGAATTTGTAGTGACATTGAGTTTCTCTTCTCGAAAGAAAAACCTTTCCCTTAAAAGAAAGTGAAATGAACAAAGGAATGATGACAGCGTAATGCAATCCCCTAATGGCAATCAAATATCTTTCTAATAGTTCGAAGAATTCTTCAAACGAATTCCTACGAATAGTTCACGGCTTCTTTGGCAATCACGCGTATAGGAAGGAAAAAGGAATGATTTTATTCGAGTTTCTGTGCCGGATATTGCGCAAGATATCACACTCGAACGAATCGTAATAGTTATTACGAGGCGGCATAAAGCGTTCGCTTTCATTAAGGAAAGTATTTCTATTTTGAAAGCCCGTTAAGGGCTATCGTCACGACTTTGCTTTTCTTTGTCGCTCTCGTTAATCGTTTCTCGTACGATTTCGAAATATCGCTTCGAAGGTGCTTGGAAAATTTCTAAAAGATGATTCAAACCTCTGGGAATCCGTGATCGTAACTGTGATCTAGTTCGAGGCGCGATAAAAAAATAGAAATTGTGAGAAATAGCAGAAACGTTAGAGAGAATGATTGAGACGTATGAAGTGCTGTTTAACAAATTGATGGCATAAAAGTGGTGCAAAATAACGTTTATATTACATGAATTCTTTTTACTGTTGCCTTTTTTCTTTATGATTAAATATTATTTTATTTAGAATTAATTTCAATTTTTGGACCAAGTTTATCAACCTCAAAGAACCTTCAATAATTTAATAGCCCCAGGCTTCAGAAATCTTAATAGGGTCTTGGCTGCAAGTATCAACCAGTCATTTTGTATAATTACTATTAATGAAGGGTTTATGCAGTAATTTTAATGAATTCGTAAGCTTTAAATTGATATGACATAAGTGTCATACCGAGTTTATGTCATCAAATCGTGTCAAGATATTCTATATTCCTAACCCTAACCCTAACCCAAGACTCGTCATTTAAGGTAATGTTTATCTAAGTGCAAGTTATTTGATATTATGACACGTGTTAACAATATAAATGATCTTTTCAATTGGTCCCATTGGCATATTACGACGTGACTAGCTTCTCATCAGCTTGTAGGGTAATAACACGTGGATACACCGTGCTCGTGCCTCATCAATGGCGCCATAGTTCCTTTCTCCATCATTATCATCATCATCATCTGAATAACCTTGACAATCCAATCGTTGAGAAAAATTCTCTATAATTTTTCTATCGGCATTTCCGAGTCGCAGGATGATTATTATGAAAATTGCACCGAAGCATTGTAAAAGACTATGAAAACTTTAATCCTTGCGTACTGAACATACACTGTGTATTCACATAAATTACGTAGAAAAATATATAGAAAATTTAGATATTAATTGGAATGAAATAAAAATAAAATATTAGAAAATAACTACCTGTTCTATTGGCAAGAAGAAACATTCTTTCGAACAAAGCGTGCGCGACGAGTTATCTACCACCCTTGTATCCGCAATGGAGGGTAGAAAAGGGTTGTTTGTATTTCCCACTGAGGGAAATGTGTGTCAACAACGAAACGTGCTTGACATAGCGAAGGAATGTTTTGATGGAAACGAAAGACGCGAGTGTAATAAAAGTTATTATTTGAAAATCAATAATGGGTGAGTCGTGTAATCAGTGCAGATAACTTCTGATTCTTTGAGAATTATATTGTTATATTGTCGCGATAGGGGTAAACATTTTTCAAGCTTCCAAACTCTAATTAATTAATCATTTACAATTTTTACTTGTCGGACACCCGAGCCCGTAATATCGGGTACCCGCACAAATCCTAATCTGTTTCGAAATCTGCCATTTGATATGCAACAGCCTAATACATTCATTGCTGTATAGCGAACGCGTTATTAACGTGTACAAACGGTCTCGTTGAACACTGAGCTCTTTGTGAAAGAATTTAATATTCATGCAGGCGTAGGTTGCATCTTTGCAACGAAATTGCATCCGACGGCTTCCGTGGCTCGTAAACGCCTCTTTAACGCTTTTCCTCGTGTTTTTTAACGATTCAATAACGCAACTCGGTAAACGTTGATTAAGCAAAAAAAAAAAACATTGTTTTAGTGCTGACTTGTCGTTCTCCGTGGAAACCTAAATCCATAGTTTAATCCTTTGCTTGCTTTTAATTAAAGCATTCATTAGCAAACGTAGCTTGTTTCCGTTTGAAAAAGAAAGAAAGTTCTTATAATGAAATTTGACTAAGGAATTTTAAAATACGGGTTAATCGTTTCGTGCTAAACGGTACTGATTAGAAGTGATAACGAAAGAATTAATAATATAGGATTCTTACCCCTCGGATGGCGGACCATGGAGAGAGCTCAGTTTTAATTTAATTTTACATTTCTAAACTTTACACTATTCCTCTAAAAATTATTCTCCCAATATATGACATTTTTTCGCTTAAAAATGAATAATTAGTTGGCTAAATAGAATAATTAGGGTATGTCAGAGCCCAGTTCACCGGTTAAAGGTTAATGTATTCAATGGACACTGTAATCTTCGAGATGCTAATGTTCCACTTAACAGTGGTTGTGTTTCGAATAATTCGACGAGGAAATATTAAATTGTAATTGGGTCTTTATATTAGGTCATTGCATACGAAACGGCCGATTTCGAGGCATAAAAATTCGACATAATTTGATAATATAAAAGTACCGTAAAATGGCGTTTATACGACATAAATTCACAGTCCAAAGCTGAATGAAAGTAATTACATAAAAAAAAAAAAAGAAGCTACGAATCCAACGTTCTCAGATCCAAATACAAAATCGATAATTTGATCTCTTTAACGTAATTGTAAATGAGAGTATCGAGGAATAATTACACAAATAATATTAATGCGGGCTGTTGTACATCCAGTCGTTAATAATAAATAACGCACTCAGCAACCGGTCTTTTAAGAGTAAATAGTAGCTTGATTCGTAATATTTACAAACGCACATTGATCCTCATCTATTTCTGTTTGGACACGATTGTATGCAGTTCCAGTTAAATCTTCAGGGTATTGGAATCACGGTTAATTGTCTGGAATGCACCGGGTATCGGACTTTAATCTTCGTTACGTCGTAATTGCGCGCCGTAGAAATATAAATTTCACAGCCGTTTTTCCAATTAAAAATCGGACGAACACCGTATTAAGTACTATGACGCAAATCATCTTAAATGACTCAGAATTTCACTTTGAAATGATTTCTACGGTATTTCTGGAGGTTTTGGAAGAATTTTGTGAATTAGAACAATTATCTGTGTTAATTAGTAGTTCCAGGCTATTAAGCCTTCGAGGACTCGCTTGACTGATTGAAATTTATTTTACATAAAATTAAGTAACATTTAATTGCAAAGAAAGAGGGCAATAGTAAAAGGAAATTTCTTTTCATATTTTTTGACATAGTAAATGAGAGGCTTATAAGGGGGCCCCCCTCAAAATTAAGGCCCGAGTTGTAGTCCCCCTTAAATCCCCCTTAACTATTTTATGTCAATATAAGTTGAGAACAAGCGGTCACTAGAATTTTTATTCCATGATATTAAAAATTAATTATGGAAATTGTGGTAACACAGAAATAATTAGCTGTAACGTAAAATTCTTAGAACAAGTGTCGTCAGAAGCTCGTTCGAAATATCCTTAGCAATCTCGAGCGTGAATAAACTTCATCGCGGCATCGAGGAGTCAAGCAATCAATTAACTAATGTACTAATTACTGCTACGAGTCGACAGCTGTGAGCACGGTTCAAAGGAAGCTGGTGTTGAATGAGACCTTTATAATCACAGAAAAGTGCCATCTTGTAGAGTTCCAACTGGTACACATTCTGCCACTTTTATAAGCCATTTCTACGCTCTCTTGAAACGCAACGAGAGACCTCGTTAAACTTCATTTTCTTGGAGCTTCTTGCTTTAATTAAACCATTCCGGTGTGCCACATTATTTTCCTAGTTTTCCTCGAACGTGTGAAACCTACTGCCAATCATTAATCGTTAATTAATCAAAGTCATTAATATAAATATAAATTTTTCATATTTTTCACTGTAATCCATTTCTTTCATTTTAGATCACTTTAATTTAATTAATCTTAAGTTATGAATATGAGGAGAAAAGTGACAATTATTTTTCCAAATTTTTTTTTCTAAATTTTCATTTCCAAATAGCGGTTTCACGTTTGTTCGCACATTTTCTTTCTTTCCCCTCGCGTTACACGACCGTGGTTCGCGATCCGCTTCGCGAGCATGGCAAAGTTGCAGCTGCAACTGCAGCTCGTTCGTAGGGTCATCCACGGTGCAGGAAACAGGAAATCCTGAGAAGTGAAACCAAGCAGAAACGTCGGGAACACACAGTGCCGCCACTGTCTAAGGATTCATAGCGGTAAGACAAGATTGAGTTCTGCTTGCGTTTCACTCAGAAATCTCCTATACTAATTTTTGACAGTGAAAGATGCGAAGTTGTGGTATATCGAGTTTTATATATGGTTTAAATTGGAAAGAAAACTTTTCACCCCTTCTCGGCGAAATCAGCCAGCACCACGCGACGGTGAGGGGCTTAATAGTTTAACTAAAATATTAAATATCTTTTTTCTAAATTTCAGTACGTGGTACACTGAATTTCTTCTGCGAAGCAGTATAAATTTCCAATGCGTTTACTTTTGCTTTCCGTTGGTGCATTAAAATGCACAGTTAATATACCCGTACCGCGAAAGAAGAAAAAAAAATGCAACGAGAAAGTAAAGAATCGTATATACAAGGTATACCAGGGTATCTGAGCGATTGCTTCGATCGTAAATCGCGACTGCTAATCACGAAATAACTAGTCGGCCATGCTGGTTGCTATAGATCGTTCGATAATATGAAATAACGAGTCTTATAGAAAGCATATTGCACAACGTCCTTAACGAATGCTTTACACTTGCATCGTTCTTTTTTCGATACAAGATCTTGACTTCGGTATGCGCCGGCTGTAGCGCCGGGACACGAGCGAAACGCATTCTTCGAAATTATCAATTCGCATGCTTGCATAGGTTCTTATGTCATAGCCGAGTAGAAATAGATGAAAAGAATCCCGGTGAGAAGTTGTAGAAGTTGAATTCGATTGAAAGGAAATTAAAACTCGATTAATCTTATTGATCTTATTATAATATTATAGTTATTAGAATAATTCAAAATTTGAATTTTTACATATTTTTCTTCGAACGAGAGATCGAAAATTTATAATATTAGAAATATTTTACTTATTTTTAATAAATACGAAGGCATAAATATTTGTAATTTAGTATTTGAATGGTTAACGTCTGGATTACCTAAAGTAAAGATTAAATTTCCATCAGTCGTAGAATTTAAAAATAAGTAACAAGCATAATAAGGAAAGTGGTCGTATTATGGTCCCGTTCTCAGTATGATCTGTTTCTGAAAGTTTCCATGAAAAATGACAAATAATACCCTAAACTAGACTTTCGTGTGATATTTTGTACAACAAGCAGGTTTTACTATTTTATTTTTAAAATGACGTTAAATCACAATTAACGTATCATTTTTTAATTTTATCTTTACCTTTAGAAATAAGAAACAAAAAAGATTTCTCGTTACAAATAAAATTTCACCATGACGTCTTATGACATCATCGGTCCTCAAGGTATTGGAATACTTTCTATAGCGACTGTACGTTTCCAGCTGCACAAGATCTCGCTGCAACTGCAAGAACCGTGCATGAAAATTGCCACGTGCATTTAGAAATAACGAAAGGAGCAGGTACAGGGTAACAGGTGAGCCGAGCTTGGATGGTGCAATTAAAAATTCAGCATCTCGTTTGAGCGGAACGGGAAGGGCCGGCTGTGTACCGGCCCAAGAGGCGCAGCAACTCCTCTTGCAGATCCGAGTCCTCCAATTTCTGGTAAACTTCCGCAAATTCCTCGTCTGCGCCCTCTGCCAGTTCCCTCGTCGATCTTCCGGCTGGCTAACCGACAATTAAACTTTCATAACCTGTTCATTAGCGCGAATTAACGCAGTGCGCTAACTCATCTGGATTCCGCTAATGCAACGCACTTAATTTACAGGGACGTCCGTGCTGCTTCACCCTGGGGGTGTGTGTTTGCTCTCCATCTCCCCGGAGGACGCGTCGACGAAACGGAGACAGAGGATAAGCGAGATCATAAACGGCACAGGAGAGAGAGAGACGAGATGATTCGTGCGGGGCGAGGGAGAGAGAGGGGAATAAATGATAGAGGAACGACAGAGGGACATTTAGAGACTGATGGCGCAAACCTTTTAGGCAAACTAATGCATCGAACCTGTTACTACCACTGTACATTCCCTTCTCCCTTTGTACAACAGTGTACTCGTGTGTACCCACCAGTTGGATTCGTTATACAGGATACATGCCTTCTGCCAAAGTTTCGGTACCTCACCTTTAGGGCGATGAATAGTATTGGATGTCGAAGAAATTTTATTGGGGGTCGTTTCAATGCGTATAATGAAAGAATAACAAAGACAAGGCAAAGGTAATAAAATGTAATTGAGCACGAGCCGGAGGATCGCGAACCTAACGGGAAGTATATTACCCTCTTTAGTTCCATCGTTTCAGAAATATTTGTTTTATGTTTTTTTACCATTCAGGTAAAATCAAAACGTACAATAATTTAAAAAAATAATATTAAGAATTCTGATTCTATACTGTAACCAAATTCTCATTGAAATACTCTAGAAATATTTCTTATGCAATTCATGAGATACCATAAGCTAGAAGTAAAGTGAGAAAATGAGCAGTGACCTTTGGGGCCCTGTGATAAACGAGGCCTTGAGCTGCAGCCCCAATTAAAGCACGTATGTATGTACATAGGTATATAAGGTCTTCCCTGTTAGCCGAGAAGGAATACACGTGTGTGGCAATTACTTGCTCGTTCCCGCCTACCTGTTCGACTAGTGCGTGTACACATAATTACAGTAGGGAATTCGCAATTATTAATTTAGCTGATACACCACAGACCTATATGCCGACCGTCTCTTTTGCAGGTGATGAGAACCATTTCGGAGTAGAAATTAATGTTCAACCTTGTGTACCATTTAAACTCTTTTATTACGCATGGAACATTGACGCATTATGATATCGTTGAGAAATTGCTGTCAAATAAATTCATTTAAGAAGACTATAAACATTGTACCACTTTGTATAGGAACAAAAAAAAAAAACATGAAATGGAAGATCTAACGGCTGTCCGACTTAATTACAAGTCAGCATATGGAGCGGACCCCCGAGTTATACTCCCCTTTCCTCCCGTAGTATGAATATCGCATTAAGTCATGAGTGAGAGATAACTTCGGGCAGGGGTGTGCCCCAATGGGAAACTACGAATTTAATAGAATAATAAATGGACCCGTCTGCGTAGTCCCAATACCATGGGATGATATCGTACGCGAAAGACCGCCATACGATAATTTTGACTTTTTCTTTTTTACCAGCAGTTTAATTTTCTTCGATATTTCTCCGGTACCCAGCGCCGGATTAAGAGGAGCCCCGGGCCTCTTGTTACAGAAGGTTTCATTACAAATTTTCCATTTACTATGTCAAAAAATATTAATTGAAGTTACTTTATCTTTAATTTTATTTAAAAGAAATTTTAATTTCTGAACCAGGTTTATCAACCAAGGTTGAGGGTGATAGCCCTAAGGCCCCAGAAATCATAATTCAGCCCTGCAGCTGACAAAAACCAGGATATATCCACGCCGTATTCGTAATAACATATTGGAAATATATGTAAGTAGGAAGTTGACTGGTTCGAACTTTTATAACAGTAATCACGATAATGGTCGATATCGTGGTGGTTCTTTTAAAAAATGTTAAACTACACATTATGGATCGTAATATCACGCCTTACGAAAGATACAACGTTTCGGATCGTGGATGCTGCGTTGTTCGGACGTTCCTTTATCCGGATCGAAATTTTCCTCGTGTAGCCGGAGCATTATAGCGGCTTTCTGCGGCCAAGTTTACAAAATAAACAGAACCGTCCCGTATATCCGCCTCGAGGGACGATCGTCGAGCACGTGCAGTGAATTTGTTTGAAACGTTGTAAAAATTTACCATGGAAGTGCGTAGAATCTTCTGGATTTAGCTTCTCATACGATAACAAGTGGTAAGTTTAAATTGAAAAATTGCAACTGTTAAATACTGAATTAGTACTATATTATAATACATAGGTTCGTTTTTAGATCAAACAACTGAACCTACCTCCTCCAATGTAGGAAGGGGGTTGAAAAATATTCTGAAAAGCGTGGGCAACGTTGTTCGCTCTCCGTGCAATTTTCAGCGCACAGACAACACGAACGGTCAGGGCGCATGTTAGCACAGTTTACAGAATAAACACTCACGGTTGGTAGATCGGAAAGGACGAGGCGAGGAGGTAGAGGCAGCGTCCGTTGTGCACTGATAACACAATTAGCTTGTCTCGTCATGCGCGACCTCTGATAAGGGATTCCCTCGTCCTCTCTGAACCATCATCTCCCACCAGCCGAATTTCTCGTCGCTTCTCTATTTGACCGAGTGCCTCTCTATTACTCTCGTCCACTTTAGTCGCTCGTCAGTGGAGTAAATCCAGACGAGAAGATCCCTTGGGAGTACATGGCGTTTCAGGGACGCGCGATAAAGGGGCGAGGGGATAGTTTAACCCTCTCCTCCTCTGTGCGAGAAGGGACACAACACACGGGGTGAACCGACCCTAACGTTAATACCTTCCGGCAGGTTTTCTTCACTTGATTTATTCCACAGGGGACTGGAATCGCGTGGCACGGTACGCACGTGCGTGCACACGCACGATCGTGCCGGTTTTCGCACGAACACCAGCGAATCCGAGGTACGTCGAAAGGGGGAGGACCTGATGCTACCGACCGAGAGATACTTTAACGAAGTCCACCGATGTCCAGATCGTGCCCTCACCGACAAATTTCGCGAGGGATTAACCCCTGTATATAATATACTCGTTCACGGGAACACGGGTGTGTTTGGTGAATCGAGGAAACTAAGCTAATCCGTTGGTAAATTGTGGAACAAGAATTTTTATTACGGTTGGGGGAAAATCAGGTAAACGGGTATTTGTTAACAGGTGGATGTAAAGACGGTATAAGTTTAGGGAATTTTTTCTTGGATAAACCAATAAAATGCAAAAATATAAGTTTTGAATTTAGGTATCTACCCCGTTGAAAAGTAATTAAACCAATTTTGACGTAAATTTATACATATAGATTGCAAAACGATGATTTCGCTTAAAAAGGAGTATGTCAGAAATATTTTTAACCTAACCTAACCTAATCTCATCTGTTGACCAATCACAAAAAGTTTCTCAAAGGATAGATTCCTGAATTTTAAATTTGTATTGTCACCCTCCATTTCAGAAATACTTTTCATTCGCATAGGTTTCGATTCAAAAAGTTGGTTTCCCAGAGGTAAAGTTTAGATATTTATTTTTTCTTAATTATTAATAGAAAATTCGATACGTCTATCAGCAGTGATCTCCGGCGTTAAAAGTCGCGATAGAGAAAGAAAAATTCCTTTGAATGATTTTTTTGGGGTCAATCGCGCATGGTGGTGGCACGAAGGCAAAGGGAGCATCGTGTCACGGTGGCTGCGATTGAAGAGAAGAGGCCACCGGGAAGCGGTAGCCATAGGCGGAGGCGCAGTGGAGCATAGGGGGTGGCAGCGGTATACGGTAATAGCATAAATTCGTGGTTGTGTAGTCGGCTCACTGGATGCCGACAAGGAGGGGGAAGGTACAGGCCAGGAACAGCCCGAGTGTCGGAAGAAACGACAGTCGCCACTCGACGTCTGCATCGAACGGAAGGTAGCTGCTCTGTGCGTGAACCGTGTATCCGTTCTTCGATCCAGAATAGAAACTGGTTTCAACGTGGATCATGATCCCGATGAAACCGATCGCGACGGATAAACAGCCATTGAACTGTCGTAGTTCGTACATTCTATCACGGATTCGTGAACGTTGAAAGGTACGCGAAAAAAGGACACTTTCTATTTTTTACGCGAATCATCGTGAATGTAATAAACAGTGACAAGTAAAAACGATATAACAATCGAGAAACATTCTTCGAAGTGCATCGATCGTCGGTAAAGGATCGGTGTGATTGATTTTGGAATAAAGAACTCGTGATTGTGGCGGGAACGAGAAGAGGGATTCGAACGTGGCACGAATGCCAACCGAAAAAAAGAAGAGCCCGTGAAAGTGTCGGTGCGCGGGACAGAATCGAGAGGACACGTTTACCAGGGCCGACCGATCGAATACGATCTATCGGTGGAACAGGTGCGAGCCACGTTTCCGTAGCTTGAGAACCAGGTAGCCCTCGGCTGAAGTTAACCACGAAGAAAGGAGACCGTGTGAAACGAGACGCCTCGACACGAGCAAGGATGTGACCAGAGAATAGACAGGGTAACAGGATTTTTCTCGTGCTAGTGACAAAAGTTCTCTGAATCGGCCGACTTTTGCCTCTATAAGAAACGCCTCGTGCCTGTGACAGTGAATTCTTTTTTCTTTCTAACTCCTTCCACGTGTGTTTCTTCGTTTTCGTACCTGACCAGTACGCAGCTGATCGTTCTAGTGTTGTATGAATCGTAAGAAAACTGACGCGTAACGGCCGTGTTTGTTGACATCGAGGAAAAGTGATTCGCCAGTTTGTAAATAGACCAGAGAGGGCGCGAACCACGCGAGAAACCAGGAACGAGGAAAAGATCACGCTCAATAGACGTTTCATCAGATAACGTCGAAAAAGCTAGTTCGAGACAGGAATTCGAATGGTGAGTTTATTTTTTTCTCTATTTATTTATTCTCTAGCTACCTGTTTTGAAATTACGCGGGGAACGTTGAACTCGGTGTTGTCGAGTGGTTTTACATATTTTTTTAAAGGGTGAATTTTCAAATAGCTGGATTGAGAAGCATGCATAAATAACAGCTGTGTGTCGAGTTATTCAGGAATAGTAAAGAAATAAACTTGTACTATTCTGAGTGGTTCTGTTTTATAAGTTGATGTTGGTTTTATTTCGAATCATCTGGAACGATAGCTTTTTCTGACGAGTCGTTAAGTAACGATCTGTCATTAAACGTTGAATAAAAAAAAGAAGACGTTCTTGCGATTTTAGTGTAGACTTTGAAAGTGAATATTTAGAACCAGTTGTCTGTCGGCCATTTAAATGGACTGTGTTTACTTTTGAACAGAAAGAAACTACTGTTCCACTTCGTATTTCAAATTATTTATCCAGCTGTTCCTGGTTAGACGGTTTTGAACGTTTTCAAAATTATTCTCCTAATAATGTAGGTGAAAAAATGTTTAATTAACTAGTTTACACTTGAGAAAAATCAAATACTATATTTAGAGGTAAATGAAAATTAGAAGCAAAAATAATTAGTAAATAATTACTACTCTGTTTATTACAATATTTAGGATATTTACTATATTAGGGTACAAAAAGGGTACAACGGGAGGGAGGGTTAACGAGTTAATGAATAATATTAATTTAATTTCGAAATTTTAAGCATAGCAAAGTTCGAGTGTGCAATTCTAGTCAAAGCAAATTTCTCTAAATTTAGTTAATCTCGATTATTATTGACTCTGTATCCCCCACAGTTAACGAACCAATTGCAATTAAATTCTAAACCTATTGAAGCAATTAAATTATGATATGGGATGAATATTTTCTTGGAAATTTTAGCAAGGCACACATTTGTGTACATTAGATAAGTAGCTTGGCCTGATTGTGGAAGGGTTCCGTGGTATTTGTCAGCGATACTTCCGCGATTCTAACATCGACAAGTGGATTGAGGTTATTGTTACGGGCAATAAATCGATGGCCGCGATGATTGAGACAGTTACGTTGACCGTTTGCTATCTCGATTAATGGCAGTTCGGAGTGGACGGTAGCGCATGTATGTTTGTAAACAAATGACGCGATGTATTGGAAGCACAGCCGGCTGTTGATATCACGGCTCTTTGCGTAATTATTCTGTTTCTCGTTCGCCGTTTGCTGTTCATTCACACGAGAGATAGATCACGTCCGAGGAGCGTACCGGAAGAAAATAAAATACGATCCGTGTGTGCACGCGTAGCTTGAAACCGAGAATAGAAAGCAGGAAATGCGAAAATCTCGTAGAAAGTCATTCGTTTCGGAGTTACGATATTTAACCCAGTGACGAACGTAAGCGGACTAGCGGCTACCAGCCGACGCTGCTGCGCCATTTTGAAACGCGTCAATAACCTATACGGGAGGATTAATCTCCTTTTTTCAAATTTCTGATATATGAAAGTTAGCGTACCATAATTTTTGTAGGTTAGAATCACAATTGATCCTGCGACCGTCATTAACCCAAAAAATTAATTATAATAATATGTTCTTAATTAAGATCTTAATTGTATCGTAACGTAGGTTTGTAAAGAAACAAATTATCAGAATAATAATTGTATCGTGACGGTGAAAAAAGAAGATTGAAACTTTTGCATATTTCCAATCACTGTACCGAAATTGATAGTACTCGACGGAAGAGAATTTCCATCAACGACTACACCCGTGTAGCCAGAGCAGTCCAGGATACACGTATGGATGATCGATTAAAACCGTAGCACGAAATCGTGTTTTTGTTTCTTTGCAAATCCTATCTGGCGAGGTTCATCGAGCCGCCAATAAAACTCAATAATCCGTCCCGGAAATATCGGTCCCCTTTGTTCCCTCTGGACTAAAAGGATGAGTCGTACACCCAGGGAGAACCAGACGAGAAAAGGAAGCGGAAATATTTCACCGCGAGTTGGACGTTAATCTGACGTTGAACGTATATCTGCCCTGTGACTCTCTTCTAATGGTCAAAGACATTAAGTTCCTAACTTTTTACGGTATTATCTGTCCCCCCCCCCTTCCCACTACGCCAGTTTATCATCGTTCCTTGCTTCATTATCTTTCCTCGATGAGGACTCATCCCCAAAGCATACAAAATACCGACCGGTACGGTTTCCAGTGGTTCTCATCCTTTAACTTCTTTCTGCATTAATTGTAAGTTGAGAAAGACAATGTTCCTACAACCAGGTAGGATTATCCCTGTAACGGTATTTAACGGTCGCTTACGTAGCCTGGGAAACGCAGGAACAGCCATTTCCATACGCTAAATTTTATAATTACCGGCTTTGACCCACCGGAGAGAGACAAAATCAAGTTCAACGTCGAAACGGTCCTCGGATCGTAAACAGATTATTCTCATGGGACAAACGACCGCGGATAAATAATTCCTTGTGATAGGTTCGGAACGTATTGTACCTACAGTTTCGATTTCCCATTGGTTCGCCAGGATTTTAGAAGGGTTGTAAAACGAAATTTGACCGGTAGGAAAACTGGGTATAAATACCGGCTTAAGGGGAGGGCGAGGTTGGGCTACCCCAAGGAAACCTGAAATTTAATTATTAAAATCGTGTAATAAAAAATACACCATCATCGAGTGGGCAAATTTTTATATGGATATACTATTATTGAGTAATTATTACTGGGGGTCCTCGCCGGGGTGACAGGCACTGAGTATATTTGTTATAACATTTTTATAAACTTTATTTCTTTAAGTTATCTTTGTAATTAACATTCCTGTCGTCATTACAATAACAATTCATTATACGATCATTGAACAACCATTTTTAGTCTGTTGCAATGATCAGTCGTATCTCAGGAAAATACAAATTGAGTACACAAAACAAGTTATTCGACAATTAATACGTTGTATCGTTCCAAGATAAACCTTGAACTTTCTATCGCATACCCACGAACTTATTAGGGGGTATACCAAAGTTTTTATCTTCTTTGCAAGTTTTTGCTTTATTTTTGTACCATATACAGGGTGTTTTATAAAGGTTTCTGAAATTTAATAGTTAATCGTCGTTTGATACAATTTTTCATTGTAACTATAATTAATTCGTGGAAACTTCTTTGTAAGTAGGAAACTCGAATTTAAAATATTTTATGGGACGAAGTACTTTTCCTTATTTTCCCGGTAATCTTCTGGTTATGTTTTACAAGCCGATACCTGTTCCGTGAACCGAGTCCTAAAATTTCGAGTAGCTGATCGATAAGAAGCGTGTCCCGAAGACAAGTTCGGCCCTCGAGGTCAGAGATACCAGGTTAATGGAGGTCAGGATCCGCGTTCAGGTCGCGTCGAGGCCATAGAAAAGTAGATTGCGATCATTCGTCGTGAGCCTCCTGTACTTTGACTCGTTCTTCTTACTAAAGCTGTCGGTGCAGCTTACAGTCACGCAGGTGTAAGCCTTATGACAATATTATGACTATCTATGACGAACCGTTCCGTTTTATGTCCCTACTCGTGGAGCTCTTTGAGTTTATCCATCAATTTTTCACTACATCACTACATAAAAGTAAAATAAAATAGCATACATGATATATAAATTTGAAGCTTAAGATTTAGCCTTAAAGTAAAAAGTCCCTGGTTTTCCCTAGGAAAAAATTTTATCCTATTAGTTTTAATACTATAAAGTTAGGTGTAGGCATGATAATCGAATCTATACTTGATGTCACGAGAGCCCATAACTGCGAAAAGACCAGTTTTCGTTCTTTTCTGCGCATTGTCGCTCTGATTGGCGATACTTTCAGCGGAAGTGGAAAGGGATTGGCGGATCGCTTTCCCCCACCATCTTCCAACCTGCGCGCTTAGTTATGGACTCTCGTGACCTCAAGTATATTATCCATTTTATTCATTATTATCCTAATCAATTCGCTTTGAAATGAATACTAAACATAGTAACTCTGGATGATTGAGGTTATGGAATCTTATTTCCCTACGCCGCCATTTTTCCTAGAGAAGCCTACTATGCTCAGTGCTGTACAGGACGATGTTCTTTAAGCGCGAGTAAGGTATTATGGCAACAGCACGAATAACTGCTCCTCGCCTTAATATTACTTCACACGCGACTGCACATTGTGTGCATACATTTGCATTCTGTATATAGTCATACACACGGGGTTAACCCAGCGATTGTACAACACTTTCTAACGTGGGCTCGATCGGAATATCGGATTCGGCGTCGATCTCGATCGTGCAGGACGATCGCCACCAGATTCATCTCACGTTCTTCTTTTTTCTTCTTGCGGTTTAACGACGAAAGTGCACACGAATCGGTACCATTGGCTCGACCATGACACTCTTTTTTTATTTTTATTTCCAAGCTGTCCGTGTAACCGTCAAAGAAATTCATCGGGAATGTGAGCAAATTTTCGATGAACCCGACCGACATATCGGACGTGGTGAAAGAAATCGCGTTGATTGAAATGCGATTTCGTAAATCATGCCAGTCGGATCCTCTTTAGTGGGTTAATTAAGACGATTTTCCTTTTTACGGGTCGCTCGTGGATCATTCGAGTTTCCCAATAATTAATGCCCGATAAAATTTATGGATCGTTTTGCAATTACCCATTGGCTTTTAGACGAACCGAATGAAATACGATCAAGGATGCTTAACGAGGCGAGAAAACGGAGGATAGTTTTTTATTACTTTGATGCCAATCGGTGTCGTAGCCTGTTAAGTTTTCAATGATAAACGGTCTGAAGGTTTGCGACCTGTTGATTACATAATTGTTATTTATTGTTTTCTTTTTCCTCTTTACTGCATTTGCAACTAGCATCAGTGGCGTAACTAGGTAGGGGCCAGAGTGGTCCTGAACAATTTCTTTATCTTATTTATTTATCCGATTTTTCTTAGATTAAATTTCAGAGCTTAAATATTTAAAACCATCATCGAAATATAGTTACCCTCCAT